AGCATCTCTGTGGGTAGGATATTTAGATTTATTCGCGAATCCTCGAGCCACCGATATTTTCCTCGGCTGCACGTGCCAATACCAATAGGCGGAGTGGTTAATACCGTCTGGCCTGGCATCCATCCTTACTACTTGATAGTCAGCTTCCATTCGAAAGCTTCGTCTTATTTCGCGGCCTATACGGTAATCCTAACCCTTATCCGCTTTTTTTTTCACCCCCTGATCGCTTCGTTCTTGGCTCGAAACGAAGGATACAAATGTTGCTGCAATTTCAAGAAATTTCAGTAGTAAAATCAACGATGAGTCGGGCTTCTAGCTTCGATATTTTTTCAAAATTATAACACATAATATTTATTTACAAATTATAAACTAAACTAAATAAAGAATTATGTCATTTTTTTGTTGTATTTTAATAAATAAATAAATTCCTCTTTCTCACGAATTGTTGAAAAGTGATTATATTATTAGAAAAGAAGACAAGAATGAAAAGTATTTATTCGCAAAGTTCAAATAATAAAATACTCGTGGCGAAGATTTATTCGCAACAGTGAATCGAGCAGGAACCGCAATATTTCGCCAATCGACTTGGCATCCATCCTTACTACTTGATAGTCGACTCGGCTACGAAGGACTTGCTTTATATTTATGTAGGAACATAACGGTTACCAGTAACCCCAACTGTTTCTGTTACTTTAACCGCACGACTCGTGAATCGTAAAAGTGTTTTACAACTCTACGACCAACAATACTGTCGTTTCCTTTACTTTTCATTCGCCCTTTTAAGCCTAATACGCTACGTTTTCTATCACTTTACAATAAATGATTACCTTTAATAAGGAAATCTTATTTTGATGTAATAGTTATTAATTTTTTTTTGTTTTTACAAATTTTCAATTATAATTTAGTATTTGAAAAATGAAATTTAATTGATTTATTGTTTATTCCAACTAAGAGCCATCCAATTTATATAGTAATTTTCATGAAATTTTAAGTTTCAAATTCATATAAGTGCCAATTTGTATTTTTCTGTCATCAAATCGTATCAGAACTTTTACATTTTAAAGTTACTTAGTCATTATATGTTATTAGTGAGAAGTAACCATATTGCATTAAACCCCCTGATAAGACGTTAAAACATTAATTTTCATGGAATCCTAAACTTTCAATTCGTATAATGTAGGTGCCATTTTACATTACTTTTATATGTAATGAAATCCTATCGGAACTTTCATATTGTAAAATTGGTCATGATTTGCTATAAGTGTCAATCGGCTGTTTTGTATCAGGGATACTGCTAAATGTTTACACAGTCGTTTTCGTTAAGCCTCAATCTTTAAAGTGTCACGAAATCGTATCAGACTTTCAATGCCTCAAAGTCAGCCGTTTAATACAATATAAGCTAATATCATTCTTTATTATTAAACTCGTCTTTCAAGGGAAAACAAACTAAAGAAATTCCTCTCGATCTTTTGCCTCGTTGCGATCGCAAGACATTCCCGACTGTCCTCGACTACTTTGCATGGAATTATTTAAAAATGCACCCGACGTCCCGGGAAACATCCACTTAACAAGGGTTGTCGGGAGGGCTTAAGGCGCTAAGGGAACCGTGAGAATATTGGCTTTAAGGACGAGACGCGGTTGGCGTTTCACGGGAAAAAGGACAAACGAATTCGAACGGGAACGCAAGTTTGTAATAGAGTCACGGTTCCGTTAAAAATTCCCGCCTAAAGTAAATGTAAACCGTATCGGTGTGATAAATACATTGTTAAGTTCACCACACTTCGTTCATGAAGATTTAAAAACAATTTTTCTTGGACATTCATTGTCAAACTTCAGGCTAAATACAAAGAATTTATTGAACAAATAACATTAAAATATCTGTATTCTTACAACATAAAAATTAAATAGTTTTATATTTATATCAGTCATACTTCGATTGACCCCCTAGTTTTATACGAATCTGATTAGTAGGTGTAACCGCTCCGACCGAATCATACATCACGACCGAAAGTACGCGTGAGCTGTGGTGGGGCGCGACCAATCAGATTGCGTTATTTTCATGTGACTTCCTGCGATCGGTGGGCAGTAGGCCCATCGCCGCGAAGATGCCCCCCACCACCGACCGACCGCAGTAATATAGACAGGTACGCCCGTGACAAATCCCATTGCGACCTGCCTAAGCGTGCCTGCCATAGAGGGTCGCGATCCCCATGATTCCAAAATTTTAATTGAAGAGTTTTTCAAGTTTTTTAATATGATTTTCAAAATACCATAAATTTTTAACTTAAAATGGCAATACTTCTCCTAAGCGCTTACCAATAATAAAAATTCCCATTATATTTACAGGTGGTGGAAAGTCCGTTCGAAAAACTTTATCAGGTAAAATTGCGTGAATGATTCGATGTAACGCCATTGACTTGTTCGTTTCGCCTCGTCTCGTCCTCCGTCTTTGCGAGAGACGCGCGGGCTCGATCGAATTTGCAAAATGGCTGTGCACGAAGGTTGAATTCCTGACGAGGTAATTCGCGGGGAGGGCGTCTACGTCTCTTGGAAGGGAAAAACTTGTAACGGGTGCGAAATTCAAAGTGAATTCCCTCGAAATAGGCGTCGCGACGCTTCACGTTCCTGCTGACAAGTTATCAAGACATTGTTCGGTGAACATGCAATGATTTTTCATATTTTATGGATTTCATATCACGTCCTCGTGTCAGTTTAAATTTTCAAACTGAACAGAAAAATTCTATCGCAATAATTATTGCACAGTATTTTATTTAGTAATTTTCCTCGTTTGATTAAAAATATACTCCCAATAAACGTCATGGACCAGCAGTGATCCTTTATGAAAAATTTCAATATTGGATAAATTTGATATGGTTATCTCTATCACGTCGGTCAACGCAAAATTAAAAGAAATTTTTTAGAATTTTTCGATGAAGGGAAAGCAACGTTAACGTCCGAATTATTTAAAATTGTACCCGATAAAATTACACGGAGAATGCAATTTCTGAAATGTAATTACGCATCCCTGGCTTTGATGCAAATTATCTTTGAACGACATTTCGTATTCAATCTATTTTCTATTCATTTTTGTATATCTACCATATTCTGTAACAAATAATACAAAAAGTATTTGTTGTTAAAATAAAAGATAAAAGTTATTGTCAAAATTAAATCAATACAATTCACAACTAAGAACATCATAACAGATACGTAATTTAATTCAAACTCCAAATTTTCCTTTCATTTATTTAAAGGGACGGGTGAAATTATTTTTTAGAAATAAAAAATGGAGACTGATTGACTATCAGCAGTCTGTTCCACTATTCGACATTTGCATTCGATCCGATTTAGCGACGCGTGTCGTGTTAATCAGGTTACATGCATTAAGTCGCCCTCGATTGTTTAAAATTCATTGGTCGATCGATCGACCTTGTTTCTGACCGAACACCCCGTCACTCGATGCCATCATTAACATATTTGCCAACGATATTCGTAAACAAATCACTCGATATTCTCGTCGAAAAACTTTCATCCATCGTTTCCTTTTTGCTCTTGCTTGTTCAAGCAACATTACGTATTTTCTCGTTACGTAAAAACAAAATACATAGAGTGGCTATAAAATGAATACATAAATTAGGACTTGATGTTTACTAACGTTAAAATAAAAGTATGGCAACATTTTTAGCTTTTGTAGTGTGCTAAGTTGGTGAAACGTACTATGGCAGTAATAATATAATACTTTTAAGAATCATAGTAGTAATTATAGTAATAATAGTAATAATAGTAGCACTATTTAATAGTAATATTAAGTAATATGTAGTAATAATATGATGTAATATTAATTACATTAATATTGTTAGTAAATATAATAATAGTAACATTATTTACTACACAGTTTCTATTAAAAATTATCTATCTAACATGATTAAACTTGAGTCGAGATAAAATCACCCGAAAATCCGCAGAAATAACCGAAAGTGTAATAGAAAAATAAAAAGGTGAAGACAATTGTAGATAGAGCGAATAGAGAAAAGAATAGCACAAGTACTGTGGTCTTTTTTTTTAACGTAAAAGAAAGGAGAATGCTAGTAAGAAAGTTTACGCTAATTAAGGCCGTTTCATCAGAGATTCCCTTTTTAGAGGGGTTGATCCTCAGCTTTTAAATAAATTATACCGCGTTAAAAGCCTCTTCGCACTTCCTCGGATAATCCATGGGTCGATCTCACCCTGGAAGGAATGTCGTAAGCCTTCTGCTTAGGTGTATCATAATGCACCTAGAGCTGTCCAAGCGAATTGCTTTTTACTTCCATTTTAAACGACGAAGTAAAATTGTGTAAATTTAATAAAATAACAATTTATCAAATTTCTGAAATTTTTTGGTTATTTATCTATCAATTTAAGTGTTAATATTTTAACTTTTACAATTAACCTATATATTACTGAAATTATTGTAATATCTGAATAATAATTAATTAAATTTGTTAAATTGAAATAAATGAATAAAAATATGAATCACTTTGGCGTTATAAATTTTTATAACGATATCAGATAGAAATGTATAATTTCAATAGTACAATTTATAAAATTTATAGAATTTTATACCACGTCACCCATATGTTATTTAAATTAATTACATAATAATAATTAATTCAGTTCGTTAAATTAAGATAAATGACTGAAAATATGAATAGCTTTAATATTTCAAAGTTTCGCATTGAATTTCGCAATTTAAAATCGAACTCTTTCATACTGCAAAATTTTTGTATACTAACGATGAGTTGCATTGATTCTGTCGCGGTGTGTGTCTCTAACACATATTCACACCGGCAGTCGATTGGCTGCAGTCCCTCTTTCGCATGCCCCTCGCCGATCAGCTCTGAATATGTGTTAGAGTCACACACCGCGACAGAATCAACGCAACTCAATGTACATAAAAACTCCACAATTTAAGCGTGAAATTCAATGGTTACACAGTTTCGAATAAACGGTACAAGGATGGATAATTTTCTGCATATAATTTTATTCTCCAACCTCGAAATTCAAATGTAAAATACTATTCGAATTTATACAATGTAATCAGCCATGTTAAAATAGAAAATCCGGAAAATAAACAATGCATATTTCGAACAGGGTGGCCGGTAGACGTTGCAGGGAAAGAATTGAAATGTACATACCGTCGACATTGACGTCGTGCGAAAATACAATCATTCCACCCGTGAATAAAATCATTGACATTTAAATGGTGTATACACTCTTAATCTTCATTCCTTTGTTCGCTCGAAGCAAACCACGAATCGCAACTAAAATGCTGGTCGACGAGTCAAAAGTTTACAAAAAAAAAGCAAACAAAATTGTTTCTAACTACCTTCTTCGTTCTCGGTGACCAGAAATCGCCACACTTTTTAAAGAAACTACTGAAGGTGTCTTAGTTTCTCATGCTAAAATTTGTCATTTTATCACCGAATGAAAATCTACTCGGTCAGAGAAACGACACCCTATATAGAATTAAAAAAAAAAAAAAAAAAAAAAAAAAAAAACGAAGAAAAATAAAAATATAATGAATGAAATAAATCGTTCTAATTGTTCTATTCAAAAACGACCGCCATCTGTCTAATTTCTAATTAAATCAGTCACAGCCGTGGAATGATCAGTTTCTGCATAGCAAGAAACTGTTAGTGCGAGGAAGGCGAGGACTAAAAGATCCGTAGTAGGATGCTTGGTCAATCGAGATCCGGAAGTCCTCCGGTGGAGCTAAAACTGTCCCGAGAATCTTTTTGAGTTCGCTCGAAATGGCCGGTTGGCGAGGTGTCCTTCAAACGGTTCTCAAAATTCAGAAAATCTGACCCGCACGGGCTACAGGCCTGCATAGATCGGAAAAAAATTCTCTATTTCAGCAGTCTGTGAATTGTATAGGGTTTCTGGGGTGTTTACTTGAAGAAGGAAACTATCTGGTCCGCCATTTTCCGTGATCTGTCGGTCTAAACGCGGAGATGAAATCACCCCACTGTCGGTACTGTTGCAGAGCCCTCCAACGCTGTCCATCATCTTCAAAAAATTAATTCCTTTTAATTATTATTCATTTGTAAGGATGAGCGGGTACCCGGAAACTCAGATCGGGGTCGGCACCCGGAAAGTTTGTCCAGTACATAAATTCGTTCAGGTACAGGTGCTGGACAAACTTTCGGAGTAATGCTCGGGTACCCGCACACTTCTACTAATTTAATAAATAACACAAAATGAAATAAGCTTGAGCGGTATTTTGAAAATGTAATATAAACTTAATTCTGTAAATTTCAAAATATAAATTTTCTATCTTTCGTGAAATCATTTGACCTTGTTTCCTCTTCGAAATTTTAATTTCCCTAAATTTCAAAATTAATTTTCGAAGTCTCTTTCCTTCAGATTTCACCTACCTGGCAAACGTGGCGTGAAACGTTAGAAGACCGGCAGGGGTAAAACGGAAACGGTGCGCGATAGGACGATACGCTTAATGAGCGAACAAATTGAAGGTAACCATGAAATTTCTTACCAGCTTAGTTTTCTCCTCGACTACTTCCACAACGTTGCCCTCCTCGGTGCTGGTAATAATACCTGTTCCCAACTTCTTGCCCAGAATCTTTACCTCCTTTCTGCATCCGCCGGATGCGTTCACGGCGTTGGTGTCGCAACCGTTCGTGTTCGAGGCGGTACTCTTCAAAAACTGTTCGTACGGGCTAAGTAATTTCGTATCCTGATACTGAGACACCATCAGCTCTTGGTTATGGTTCTTCGGACCCAGGATCTTCACTTCGCCCAGATCAGAAAACAGTTTCGATGACGGTAGACTATTGATTTTGTTGCTGAGAACCTTTAAAATATAACGATTGTTACTACTAATTCAGAGGATGAATATAAAGCATTACCTTTGGGGTTGAAGTTATCGATCCAAGGATCTTCATATCCGATTGACTGATGGGTATTAATCCAGCATCTGTTTCAGAATCATCAAAAACGGAAGGTAATTTCATTTTTGACTCGTATACAGAGTGATGATCGTCCATGGAACTGTTGAGAATATTCAGGTCTTCGGTTAAGCTATTGTTGCTTTTGAGATAAGGGAGGGTGTCGTTTAGGATTGATAATGGAGGATGGTTCTTCATTAGGAGGGAGGATATGGAGGGGTGAGATGTGGTTGATAGGGTTGATATGTCACTTCGATGATTGAGAATGTTTGTTAACTCCTGTTGGCTAGAGGGCACTCCTATGGCTGTAATAAAATTGCAATTTATTTATTATTTATTTAAATTAAAATTTAAATTGCTTAAATTCAAATCGACAAATAAGAGACAAAATTTTATTTTATTAATGCTTATTAAAATGTCTTTTATTTAAAATTTGCCTATCATTTTGAGATCTCCAGAATGGTCTTATTACCATAGCAATTTCTGTAAATTTTAAGAATACATAGGTGTTGCAAATTAATTATTTGAAGCTATCAGTATATAAAAAAATGATGGATGTTGCGCTCCAGTCATTTCTGGCTTTATGTTTGCACGTTTTAACCTTTTAACTACGGGTGTGGTTTATAAACCACATACTAAAATTGGTGGCTTATATACCACTAAAATAAAAATAAAATAAATACAATAAAAAAAATCTTTTAAAATAGAATATCATTTCATTAATACTAGAAAACCTGCAGGCGAACTGCAGGTGAATGCCAAAGGCAAGACATAAACAACATGCGCAATTTTGTAGCGCTTAAACTCTTGAATCGACAAATCAACACCAGTTCCTGAATGAATTTACATCAATAAACTCTTTTGAAAATATCTCGAAATCTAATCCATGTTGACCTATTTTCGCCAATGGTTTGCAAAACTAGAGACCGAGACCTTTACATTGACACCAAACATGTCCAAAAAGTATGGAGGATAAGGTCAGGAGAATGGCAACAAGAAAGGTAACAACGAGAAACAAGGTCAGTGGGAGAGAGAACAATAATTTAAAGTTAGAGCGATCGGCTGTGCTAAAAGTACCCGTAGTTAAAGGGTTAAAGTTTGGCGGGGTGGCTCATGGTACTGCCGTCTATAGGCCTTGTTGTGGGCCCCTTTCTGCGATCGTTTTAGTTAGTTCGTTCATTCTCAGACATGTTCGATCATTAGAAAAAGCCAGAGAGGCGTTATATGAGAAAATATGTACTGTCCACCAATCACAAGAAGTCACCTGAGAATAACGCAACCTGATTGGTTGCGCTCCAACTCAGCTCACACGTACTTTCGGTCGTGACGTATGATTGGTCGAAGTGACCACATCTACTAATCAGGCTCGTATAAAACTAGGGGGTCAGTCAATGTGTACGTAAATGGTATCCCCTCTTGCCCCTTCGTCGTCCCGCGAGACTTCTATTCATTGGTGCACAGTAGTTGCAATGATTTTGTGTTTATTTTCAAAGTTATGTTGGAATAATTATATTATTTAAGATCTTTCCATTTCTTTATATTTTGGTGTTTAGATTTACATTTATCCGATTAATATACATACATATACAGGGTGTTAAAAAATACCCTGAAGACTTCTACACCGCTGGATAGATCACGAAAAATCGAAGTGAAAAGTTTTGTAGCATTTTTCGATGGGATCAGTAGTTTAGCCACATTTCGTTGTTGAAAATTGAAAAATTGACCAATCAGCGCGCAGCTTAAGTGGCAAAACCCTCGGAGTAGGAGACTAGCCTCCTCTGCCGCCGATGAGCCACGCCGCTGAGCGTTGCGCTTACGCATGCGCCGCTGAGCGTTGCGATTACGCATGCGCCGCTGAGTGTTGCGATTACGCATGCGCCGCTGAGTGTTGCGATTACGCATGCGCCGCTGAGCATCGCGTTTACGCATGCGCCGAGAGTCTAGTGGAGACGGAATTAATTATTTAAATAATTCAAACGTTGTTTACTATTGTTAAGATAGCAATTTTTTGGTTTTTTGGATATTTTCGATATCAATCTTTACTACAGGATACAGACGAAAATTGTACGTGTACAATTTATCAAACCGTTTAATAAATTGACACAACTGGGTATGACCCACTAATAGATTAAACAAACAACTCTCGGCGCATGCGTAAGCGCTACGCTCAGCAGCGCGGTTCGTCAACGGCAAAGGAGGCTAGTCTCCTACTCCGCGGATCTTGCCATGCAAGCTGCGCGCTGATTGGTCAATTTGTCAATTTTCAACAACGAAATGTGGCTAAACTACTGATCCCACGAAAAATGCTACAAAACTTTTCACATCGATTTTTCGCGATCTATCCAGCGGTACAGAGGTCTTCGGGGTATTTTTTAACACCCTGTATAATCTTATCAAAAAGTAATTTTCAAACTATTCAAAATAAAGTTTTGAAAATGAAAATAATATGAAATACAAAATTGAATTAAAATTGTCAATTCGAATAAAATAAAAATTTGCAGTCGCAAGAAAAAAAAAATGTTAAAGGCGATGTTGGTTCAGAAGCGAACAAAGCTTGCTATATTATCGAAAGGAGCAGTTAACTTAATTTCGTATGAAACTTACCCTCGTCCTCGTGTTCGGCAACAGTAACTCCACTATCGATAGTCAAAGGTTTTGGACCAAGGATCAAATCATCGATTTTCGACTGCGAGAGGAAACTAATGCCGTCCACGAAACGGTCGTCGAGGCTCTTGCTGTCGAGAATTCGGATGTCCTTGTCCTCCAGGATCTCGATGCCATCCATCGACATGGATTTCTGCGTCGAAGCGGAATCGAGTACCATGATCTGATTATCGGAATCCCCGATGATGACTTCCCCGTTGCCACGCATATTCACCACATTGATCGCATCCGCTTCCTCGCCGTCCAGAATAGTCACATCGTGTGAATTCTGTGCCATCAGGTCTCTCGCTTCGCTGTTTGTCATCACCTGATTAATAATTATGCAGCAGATATTTCATTAATATTTATTTACAATTCCTACTATGGGTCTAAAATTACCAATTTTAGAAGTGGCCACAAATCGAAAATTAAGTGGATAAAAATGATATAGTCAGATGCAATTTAGGCACACCGGGTGGCAAAGGGGACAAGAGAGGTGCCTACGTACAATGGTCACTAATTGCAAGTACTATGGATCATAGTCATCAATTGCAATGAATTTACATTACAAAATAGGATGTTTGCAATGGAAATTTTCAAAAAACCAATTTTACCAAAATTTTCGTTGCAAATAAAATTTCAAGAACAAAATTACGGTAAACGTTAAGGAAAGTCGTCGATGATCTCAACGTATGCTATCAAACACTGTCCCTATATTCTCATCTCAAATTAATTTAACCCAACTCATCCTTGAATTACATTTAAGACAGAATAGTCTTAATTATCCCAAGGATAGATTAAGTTAGGTACTATTATTTTGAAGTGAGGTTGTAGAAGCCCTTCCTCGTCCATACATTGAAGTTTTAAACAAATTTTGCGTTCATTAATAACCAAACATTGTGATGTGCCAGATACATGGCACTTACCGCAAGAATAGAGCCGCTTTTACAACTTGCAACTCAAACCGCGACTTATCTACTGAAAATCGGGAAATTTGTAAACGTTATATCTTGAAAACTAATTAAAATCGAGTATATACATTAAAGCTTATTGAATTCGTCTTGAGAAGCACTATTACACGATCTGAAAAAAAATATATTTAAAAAACAAAACTTGACCATCATATCTCTTAAACTAATAATGCAAAAGATTTTTCAACAATTTTCAAACAATTTTTTGTATCATTAACAGTTTAGATGGGACACCCTGTATATCAACTTTATTGTCAAACGAACGTCCTTTTCAGTTCTATGTTTAACAATGAAGAATTTTGTTTAGAAATAACTAACAAACCTTTGAAAGTTACCGAGGGAGCGACTTTGCCATCGGATCAGCCTGCCTACCAATAATTATTTTATTTACTTTTTCATATTGAGTTTGATAATTTGATATGAAAACGTACCTTCCTCTAATATTTAATCTTAGCCAAAGGAAGTGTCGAAACTGCGCTAAAATTTACTTTTGTGGCCACAAAAGAAATATAGAAAAGGTAAATATGAAAGTGATGAGCAATGAATTCGTCACCTCGTAACGACCATCTTCGGTGGCTCTCACGAATTGTATTCCACCCTGGGCGGCCAGTTCCAGTAACTCGTTGCAGTCCTCCATCGCTGTGGACACAACAGGACCATTCTGGCGATCTGGTTCATTCCGGTGGGACTCGGTGTACGTGAACTGGGAATCCAATGCCGTGACGAGACTCTCTGTCGACAATACACCAAATAAACACCATACTGCAACGACACTTTGAAAAACATCGTCGCTTTAACGAGCCAATTATAGACGGACAACTGGCATCAGAGTCCCTTGGTGCGAATGTGTCCTGACTGAAATTGTCCAGCAAACGTCGTAACGAAACGATTACGTTATAGAAACACCATTGATGTCTATGCTGAATTTTTCCATGGGAAGAGAGAAGGTTCTTTGAAAATTACTCATGTTCCATTTTAAGGTGAAATAAGTAAAAAAGCTTTTGATTAGAGTAATTTAGATCAAAATTTAAAAATTGTTAGAGTATAAGAATATTACATAATTAATTAATACAAACAGGACTGGATTAAAATTTTGAGGGAATAAAATTAAAGAACCTGTAAAAAAAAAAAATTGGGAACCAAGGATTTGAACCGAGGACCTTCAAATTGCAAGTCACGGATCTGCTTCGTTGTTAAACACGTGACTCGTAATCTAAGGGTCTTCGGTTCAAATCTTGGGTTCCCGTTTTTTTTTATAATGATAATTTTTAGGTAATAGTTATTCAAAAGGAGACAAATCATCATTAAAAAAAAAAATGTTGGAAACCAAGGATTTGAACCGTGGATCTCTAGATTGCGAGTTGTATGTGTGAGTCTGTCATACTTCTCAATGTAAGTAGTAACTAACTGTAATTGTTAATATCTTTTAAACAATTAGCCATCTGCCCCCAAAAGGGGTTCTCCTTGTGAGTTGCAAAGTGGGGCCCAAGGCTATAGTCCTCTTACAATTAAACCTCCTCTTAATTTAGTGTCGACTATAAATATAAAAAAAAGAAATAAAATTTGGGATATTTACTAGTTTTCACAAATTCAAGCTTCTCCACAGCCATCAATTCATCACTGAGGACACAGCAGCTTATTTCTTTTGATGGACACTTTGATAGAAAAAAGATAAAGGAAAATTTTCTCACCGTGTTCATTTTCTGGTCCAGGCGGTTCAACGATGAAATTCATCTTTCCATCAGGATCTATGTTCTGAATGACGGTGGCTACCACGGGTACTTTCACTTGGACAGCTTTGACCCGGTCCACATCTGGGATCATTGGACTTAGGCTCATCTTTCCCGCCATTCGTAGATCCTCAGCTGTAGCTGGTGTCAGAATCTGAATTCATAAGTAAAACTTGCTTTTTTTTCAAACTAGTCTCTATTAAGTTTTGTATTAATTATGTAATAGCTTTACATTTTTGTGAGTACCGGTTGGCGAGACTTTTACGAGCACTGGAATTCCTTTAGCCGGTTTGAAAAGGGCGAAGGGTGTTTGACCCTCTAGAAGTGCCATCTCCATTGCTTTCGTATCAATTTTGTCTATTATCACTGATTCCATCATATCAGACTTTTGTGAAACAGAATTTAAAATCTGTATTAATAAATTTTTATTATTTGTACGAATGGTGGTACACCATATTATTATATTAGTGTTTTGAATTGTTGACATTATTAAATTGTAGATGGGCTGACAATTAAATTCGTAACCTTTTCAAGTATTTTACTTCAAAATGCTGCTAATTTTGCTATAAAGGAATACAAAAATGAACACAGATATTGGAAAAGATGGAATGGTACTTAACTTGACTGAAAAATATTGTTTGTTAAATTTAAAAGAATTTCAAGATTGCGAATTTAATTGTTAATTTAATATAATATTATAACATGTCAAGTTACTAACCGAAATCAAAGGATCTTTATCTCTAACTTCGATAGTCTGATTACGATCACTATTGGGCAGCTGCACAATCCTAACATTCTTGCTGGAATTTGATTTTTAATAAATAATTATTACCTTTCCTAAAATTGGTCATATTCTAAACATTAGATTGTTATCGATATGATAGCTAATTATTATTTACTGTAGCTAACAATCAACCACATTATAACAAAAACATTCACAAATTTTCTAGTTATTTTCCTAGTTATTTTCACCAAACTTTACGCTAAAAATTAAGGTAATACAAGTGTCATTTCATAAAACTTTTCTGTCATGAAATCTCGTTTGAAAAATTAACCATCCCCCCGTGCAACAATCTAACACTATCAGAAGGTGTAATGTCTCCAAGAAATCCTTTGCGAAGAAGAATCAATTTACGTAGAAAAGAAAGAGAGGAAAGGGAGCGTGAAATTTTCTGCTGACTTAGAAAGATCAACATTCTGTCTACGTTCGGTTAACGGGGAGAAAAGATGGCCTCGACTGTCCGTCAAGGAGGAAATTAACCGTGGTAGTTCGCCGCGATTCCGGTGACGACGTCTACCTACTTTCTTATAACGTTCGGATCGTTGATTCCTGGCTGTGGCGTAGTCGGATGTCGATATTTGATGCCGTGCTTGTACTCTTCGTGCGATCTCAAAGCGAATCGACGCGGGAACTCTTTGCCGCAGATTCCGCACACGTACTGCATTTTCTCCGCGTGTGCATGCGCTTTGACCTTGTGGCAGACCAAATTCGACATCTGATTGAAGCCTTTGCCGCAAAGCTCGCATTTATACGGTCTCTCGTTCGTATGGGTAAACACGTGGTTTCTCAAATTGCCTGACAACGGGAATGATATATTTAACTGTTAAACGTTCTCTCCTACATCCAATTTGCCATTCAATTTATTCTACTCTAAAATGATCAATTTTTATGCAATTTCCAAAGAAAATGAATAACTTTTCCTGATTAGAAGAATGGCAAAGTCATGATTCTCTTTTTAGGGAAACTTCCGAAAGGCCCCATCACCCCAAAAAAAAAACTTCGGATTTATAGTAATTGAGGGACGAGAAATCGAATGATACCATTTTCAGAACTGGCAAATAAACCGTTCTCGAGATATACAGGGTATTCTAAAAGTGCGGAAACCCTCTATTGTCTTGATAAGAACGCATTTCCACGCAAAATGACTAACCTAACCCTAACCCTAACCTAGGTTAGGTTAGTCATTTTCCGTGAAAATGCGTTCGGTAATTATTTAGAAGTTGGTCCTCCTCACCGATTTTCGTGACCTTGAAATATGTTGTCATGGTCATCATTCTGAACAACTTTTCCCTATACATGTTACCGCCGCTCGGCCTTAGTTTCCGAGATATTCGTAAAAAACTGCATTTATACTTATGTCACCAGTACACTGCATTCCGGGAAAAATGGAGACTGAATAGTGATTGAAGTGGTTTGAGGTTAGGTTTAGGGTTAGGCTTAGGTTAGGTTTAGGTTTAGTGCTTACATGGCGTAATACGAGAGCTAATATTCCTCGTTATGGAACTCGTACGTCTCATTACGTGGAATATATAGCTGAGTTTTTATTCCGACGTCAACATGATGTTAATGAGCGTATAATGGCATTTTTCGACATGATGGGCGAAATGTTTCCGATTTCTGACAAAACACAAAATGAATAATAGGTATACAATATATAAAAAGTGAAAGAAAGAGTAATTATAACGTGAAAAAATCAAAAACAAAACCCTAACCCTAACCCTAACCTCAAACCACTTCAATCACTCTTTCAATCACCATTCAGTCTCCATTTTTCCCGGAATACAGTGTACTCGTAATCTAAGTTTAACTAAATATTTTTGCAAATATCTCGGAAACTAAGGCCGAGCGGCGGTAACATGTATAGGAAAAAGTTGTTCAGAATGACGACCTTGACAACATATTTCAAGGTCACGAAAATCGGTGAGGAGGGCAAACCTCGAACTAATTACCAAAGATTTTTGCAAATATCTCGGAAACTAAGGCCGAGCGGCGGTAACATATATGGAGAAAAGTTGTTCAGAATGATGACCATGGCAACATATTTCAAGGTCACGAAAATCGGTGAGGAGGACCAACTTCTAAATAATTACACGGAATTTTCACGGAAAATGACTAACCTAACCTAGGTTAGGGTTAGGATTAGGATTAGGTTAGTCATTTTGCGTGGAAATGCGTTCTTATCAAGATAATAGGGGGTTTCCGCACTTTTAGAATACCCTGTATATCTCGAGAACGGTTTATTTGCCAGTTCTGAAAATGGTCTCATTCGATTTCTCGTCCCTCAATTACTATTATTCCGAAGTTTGGTTGTCCTGGGGTGATGGGGCCTTTCGGAAGTATACCCCTTTTTCTGATTCAAATTTGACGTTTATAAATCACTAGGGGTGTGCGGGTACTTGAAAATTCGGCTCGGACTCGGGTTGACAATTTTTTTCCAGTTCGAAACGGACGCCGAAGGTGTGTTTAGTATATAAATGTGTTCGGGTACCCGTAATTTCGAGACCCGAAATATTTCAATTATATACGAAAACATTTTGAAATTTACAAATTAAAAGTAAGCCTGAAAAATCATGTCCCGAGTGCAGCGTCGACTCTCGAATTGAGCTTCAAATCTTGAGTCGATTTCGGGCTCGATATTCAGATCCTGAAATAAGGGGTACCCGAATCTACCCGAATCTTCGGGTACCTGCACATTCCTATAAATTACCCTTTTGGTGGAATCCTTTCCCGCAAACTTGACACTTGTGCGGTTTGTGTTCCGAGTGCGTTTTCCGATGAGAGATCAATGTGGACACTCTAAAGTTCAAAATATTAAATTACTATCTCAAAGCTCTCTAAAATTTCATCTGAGAAGCAATCATAAAATAAATGCTATAATAACACATTATAATGACAATTTTTAAAAATAAAAAAAACATATTTAAAATTATTTCAATATTTTAAAGCCGCTATTACTTTCATAAAGACCATCCTAATTTTTTCAATCATTTCGTTTTTCAGATACATTTAAACGACCCCCCTCCCCCAAATAATAAATCATGCTCTATTAACGTTAATTTTTAAAACGACAAAAATATGCTCGTTAAAATTTTGCGCTCGTGATCCGCTAATGATCCGCGACCAAGCGTAGTCGTCATTATTTTTCCTCTGGTGAAATTGTAGTTTCAATTGCTGTCAGAGCCTTTTCATTAAAACGCTTATATCGTTGTTTTAAGGTTTAACTTTAAAGTTTCGATCACTAGGCAAACATGAAGGATTGGTATATACTGATTTAACTGCTAACCTGTTGAAAGTCTTCTTGCAAAATTCACAGACATACGGCCTGGCATCGCTGTGTATCGCCTTGTGTTGACTCAGAGTTGATAACTGGCGAAAAGCTTTGCCACAAGCCTCGCATTTAAAGTTCCTTTCGTCAGTGTGCGTTGGTAAGTGCCTCATCAACGTATACTGGTGGCGGAACTCCTTTGAACCTGGTTTGAATACGTGAAATTTAGAATAGTTTTATCTGTTGCTAAATCCTTCTGTTATTTCAATTTCCACCACCCCGAATTTTCTAACTTTGAATTTTACCCTTTCGGCTAATTTTCCATAAGTTTAAATTTTACTCTATCCAATTCTATTCTTTCGAATTCTATCCTTTCAATGTTTACCCTTTCGAATCCTACGCTTTCAAATTTTTATCTTTTCGAATTCTATTTTTTCAATTTTTATCCTTTCGAATTCTATCCGTTCAATTTTAACCTACCCTTTCAAATTCTATCCTCATCATTTTTATCCCTTCGAATGCTATCGTTTCAATTTTTACGCTTTCGAATTCAATCCTTCCAAATTCTACCCTTTCGAATTCTATCCGTTCAATTTTGACCTACCCTTTCAAATTCTATCCTCATAATTTTTATCCCTTCGAATGCTATCGTTTCAATTTTTACGCTTTCGAATTCAATCCTTCCAAATTCTACCCTTTCAAATTCTATCCGTTCAATTTTGACCTACCCTTTCAAATTCTATCCTCATAATTTTTATCCCTTCGAATGCTATCGTTTCAATTTTTACGCTTTCGAATTCAATCCTTCCAAATTCTACACTTTCAAATTTCACCCTTTGAATTCTATAAGCCTAAACTTAAAAAAGGAGTCACATTTCTTTTCTGAATATCATAATTACTCACAAATTCCACATTCCCAAATTTTGAGCGTCTTCCCATCCCGTTTCAGATACTTCACGAAATGGAGCTTCGATCTTGGGTCATCTTTGTCAATAAGATGAGTGGTGGACGAAGATGGCCGTTCAACCATGGGGTCCGGGTACACCATAATGTTGTCCTCGGACTTATTAACATTCTGATCAACGATCTAAAGATAAGTCTACTGTAAAAACGAAAACTAAAAAATATTACTACTTGATACCTTGTATTTGAAAGCATCTTTGCCGAGGAATTTCGCCACACTGCTGTCGATATTAATTACCTCTGAATCTATAGCAACATCTAGATTCATGCAGTCACCCTTTAGTGGAACAAATGAAATTGAACAGTAATTAAACGTTTATGAAACTGGAAGAATAATTAAACTATGAATGTGTTACGATAAAGAGATTAATGGTACACGGTGCACGTTGATGATATGAATTGAAACAATTAATTACCTGAATTAATTGATGATCATTTGTGGTTGGTAAGCTCGGTACAACTGTGACATCGTTCCTGTTGTCAGAACCTGCGCTCTCTTCTTTCACGTAAACTTCATAAACACTAAAAATACAAAATTTTTGTAACAAACTACATATATTTTCTACCAGTTCATCGATCAAGTGAACCCCCGAATGTTTGATAACCCCAGACCATGGATATCTTAATCCGGTTCTGTTTCAAATTCTCTAACAACAAAACAGAAAATTCAAACAATAATCAAAATGAAAATAAAATAAAATTTTAACAATTGCAATGTTTAATTAATAAAATATATCCTCGATAGAAAAATTTGCAGTAATATAAGGTTTTAAAGCCTGTGATAATGAAACAAAAATAAAAGAAATGAATCACTGCAATGAAAAAATGTTGCAATATTTTTATTAGTGTCTGTTTAATTAAACAAATAGAAAGAAAAGAACCGAAATTTTTTCCAACGAAACACTAGCCAAGTTATCTACGAAATGCAGGGACACCTTCGCGTCGTCTGCAGAAAACTCCGCTTCTAAATTACATCGTTCGCCTCCAAAAATTTCGGGGATTAAAGTCAGCTGGTCACTGTGTAACACTGATACATGCTAATTTTTTAAGCTCACCTGATAACTTCGTCCGGAATAGGACGAGTGAATTGCATCTGCGGATCCTCGTACTGGGTCTCCCCTGAAAGTTTGAACAATATTTCGTGAAAATATTCCCGTTTAAAAATAACAATGACAATATAATAATTTAATAATTGCAATTACGTTTTCCCAGAGAAAGTAAAATTTACAAATTTTTATCTTATATAAAAATAATGTTTATTGTACATTAAGTGCATTAATGCAACTAAATAAAGGCCAAGGTGGTGGGCCTAGCTCCTCGTATCAATCTGAACTGATCTTTCCTAAAAAATGTAAAGCTTCATTATTTTAAAATTTTATGATTCCAAAATTTAAACATTTCAGAATTACAGAATTACAAATCTTTAATAGTTGTAAATTCCAATATTCTGAGATTCTAAAATTCCAATATTAAAAAATTTCGGAGTTCCATAATTACAAAACTTCAAACTTCCTAAATTCTAGATCTAAAAAATTAAAAAATTATGAAATTACAGATTTATAAAATTATCAAATTTCTAAAGGATCTGGCCCATTCCAGAATAAGTTACACCAATCGTTGATCGCCCGAGTGGGTCATTAATTATAACTCCTTAATTATACGAAAATTAATAAATATAGTATAACTGCAATTGTAATTATTAGAATCTAATTTTCAATAAAAAGATTTACATTTGCGTCAAAAAATTAATACAAATTTTATAAAATTTCCGAAGATAAAAAATTACAATATTTCTATTCAAAGCAATTTTTTCAATTTTATATATAGAACGAAAAATTCAGAGTAAACATGCTATTAAATAGTAATTTCTAAGATGGTGGATAGTCTTTATAGCCTGATAGTCTGATAGCATAATAAAATAATCTCCTCTGGCAAAATAATTCCTTTCCTTCTTTCTACACTCTTTTTTTTCTCATTGAATAATCCGTTACGTAGATCATCCAATATGCTCTTTGCGACATTCGTTCATATCCAACTAAAAGAACTAATGGGCACGAATGAATATATTCTGTTGCTGGTATTATCTCGAACGAAAGCTCCAGCCTTGAAAACACATTTAATTTTTATCGTAACCTATTCCTTTTATTTTTTCCAAGTAGATATATCAAAATTAAGACCTCCGAAAAAATTCAATTTAAAATTCATTACTTTTTTTATGAAATAATCTTACGTAATGTCTTCTTGCAATAGTACAATACATATAAATGATAATTTTAAAAAGAATTAAGATTAAAAATATGAAATAAAGTTTGATCTGAATAAATGCTCAAATAATTCCAACTATATTTATTAGGAAATGTTCGTAATTTGTAATTTTATAATAGCTTCTAATGGTCATTGGTGTAATTAGGTAGGGTGGGCCTGGCACCTCTAAAAATCTAAATTGGCTTCTCCCCAAAAACATGAACCTTCAGCAAAATTTGTAAATTCCAAAATTTCGAGATTTCAAATTTTCTCAATTTCAGAATTCCAACATTCTAGATCCTAAGAATTTCAAAATTTCAAAATATTAGAATTTCTGAATTCCAAGACCTCGGAATTCTAGAACACCGTATCACCAAAATTCTGAAACTTCAAATTTTCTAAATTCTAGATACCAAAAATTTTATAATTCTAAAAATTTGTAAGAGACCTGACCCACCCCAGAGAAACGTCCAAATTTTGCAAATACCAACGGTTTTAACAATTATCATTCAATAAAATAAATAATAGTGGTAAAAAGCATAATTTCTCAAATAAAGCTCGATCTGAACAGAAATGTTCATTTAAACTCATCGTTAGATAATATCTGAAATGACCCTCGAATTGAGCGACACTGATTTAAATGGAACTGAGGATACAGGTGCCTCTTGAAACAATGTATCGTTTCCATCGAGCGTTTCGTCCACGCGAACGAGACAATGTTGCGGCGAACCTCACAAATGCATAAAACTGATTCCCTCGATCTGATCATTGAACTTGACCAATATATTATATTCCAGATTAAAAACTACAATGCTTTCCTTGCAATTTTATAATACCTTGATTTGTAATTTGAAATATTATATTTGGAGCTACGGAAACTATTTTTAAATTAAAAATTATAATTTTATAATACCCTGACTTGTAATTTGAAATATACAGAACTATAGAAATTCTTTAAAAGTTAAAAATGATCATTTTTCTTCCCAAATACTTTTACTATTTTGCAATTTTATAATACTTTGATTTACAGCCTGAAATATTTGAAGTTATGGAAATTATTTTGGGATTGAAAGTTATCATTTTTCTACCCTTACATTTTAGTTTTTTTTGCAATTTTATGCCTCGAATTGCAATTTCAAATATTTCACGTAAAATTATCTCAAGATTAAAAATTGCAATATAAGCGAAGAAAATCTAAACAGAAAGTGAAAATGTTGCAAAATAAGAACCACGATCATTTCTATTCAACGAAACTAAATAAAAAGAAAAAACAGAAAATATCCTTAAATTTTCTTAAACAAACCAAATCATGCATCTCCAAACTTACATGTTTCCTCGATCAGTCCCCGTTCCTCGAAAATCGGGTCACCTCCTAATAATTCCCCAAAAATCCATGGTTCACGTTGCAATCAGAGAATCAAACATTATACAAAACGTCGCTAATTAAACTATTAGAAAGGTGATCGCCATTGAAAGACCGACGAGACGGTTAGTGACCGGAAGGCGAAGAGAAAAGACTGTCAAAGCGGAGGGATTTCGAGGTTCGTGGAGCGCGATCGGCACAAGTCGGACATCGCCTTTTTTTTTCAGCAAGCAAATAAACGAAAGCCGCCATTATCACAGCTCATTTTTCACAAATTGGTAAGCAATCGAATAGTGAACAGCGAGAGGAGACGATGAAAATCAGAAGAGATCGCGAGACGTCGCGAAGAAAAATTTCCGAAGAGTAAATTTTAGAAAATCGGTTCTTATTGTTTTTTTATTATTAGTACTTACAGTTGTATCCTTGAAGAAGGTTATTCTGGGACATTTCACAGCTTGGACCGAGCCACTTTCCACGTGGACGTCTCGCGGCCTGATTCGCATCGATCTCTAACGAGGAATCGTTTGAGACGGAACCAAATCGGTTCGCCCATATCGCCGCCAAACGGGCAACTTTGGAAACTTTGATTAACAGTAACGTGCCCTCCACTCTCAAAACCCTCTTAACCTTTGATCTTCCATATACGATTTTTTTCTTTTTTTTTTTTTTTCAATTTTCTACTCAAAATGTATGGTGTTTCCATTGGCGTAATTAAGTAGGAGTTAGAGTGGGCATGACCCCCTCATCATTGAAAAACTTTAACATTGTAAAATTTCAAAATTTCGGAATTTTAGAATTATGAAATTTCAAAATTTCTTTGGGGCCTAACACACCTCAGAAAAAAAATCCTAGTCACGCCAATGAGTGTTTTGTACCATAAATTAGTCACTACATTTAAAATAATATTAATTTTTGCAATACTACTAATTATGAGATTATAATCAATTTTTAACTTAACCCTCGGACGGCAGACCATGAAGAGAACCACAATTTTAATTCAATTGTGTATTTCATATTATTTTCATTTCCTAAATTTTACACTGTTCCTTTAGAAATTATTGTTCAAATATATCAAACCCTTTTATTTAAAAATGATACATTAAACTTTAGATTAATACCCTTGTATGTATTTTATAAGTTTAAGTGATGATTGATCCAGGCTCCACTGTTCAAGGGTTAAAAACAACGCTAATTGTAAAAAAATTTGTATTTATTATTTAGTAGGATTTCCTTTACTCTTTTTTCTATTACTTTAAATCTCTTCTATAGTTTCTAGAATGTTTGACTTATTTTCTCAACATTTTTTTATTTATTATATTATTAGAAATTAAGTGTATTTGGAACTTCCAATTTCCTATTTTTTAAATACTACGAAAACAATTCTTTACCTGAAAGCTATACTAACCCAAGTTTATTTTCATTACTTTTCAATAGAAAAGGGAAAACAAGAGCGGCTACACATTGCTTTGTACAGAAATCAAAATACAGTAGACTCTCGTTATATTGCCGCGGACAAGGTTGCAGCCGGCTGAAGGGTTTCAAGCTTCCAAGCTTTCGGTTAGATGAGAAAGAGAAGAAAAAAGTATATCATTTGCGTAGGCTATGCTGGTGGAAGAGTGGCATTAGTATGCTTGAAAATCTGTACGAAGAATAAATCACTCATGTGGCATTATAACGAGTGTTTGCTGCAGTTCATATGATTATATCTTTTTTATTTAAAATGCAATCTAAATGTGTCCCTGTAACTTTTTAAAACAAAGAAAGGGTAGTAAAATGGTGTACATACATACATAACTGAATTTAAAAAACAAGTAGACTTGGGTTAATCTGGCTCTTATCGTTCGGTACAGAATTGATTATTGATATTTTAATAATAAATGTCAAAATTTTCCTATACCAACTTAAATTTTCTCCAGAGTTTAAGGGATTAAACCACTGAATCAGTGCAGAAGGTGAGAAAACTTCGTTTTTAGTTCAATCGAGATTCCCCAGTGGCCCTGATTGTAAGGGGGTGCATTAATATTCCAAGAAACATCTAAATTCTATCCGATCGACGAGGCAGAGGTGGAGCCATCTTCTATCGTCGAAGTCGCCGGAATTACCCACCCTCTTCGCCTCCTCTGTTTTCGAATTCCGGTCGGGTACGTCCACATCGCCGTTCTCCAGCTTGCTAGCTTGGTCCGCGGCATACTTGCCTGACTCAATTATTACTTGCTACTTCTTGTTACCCGCTGTTTAAGTTGCTTCGATCCTTCTCTTCTCGCTATTCTAGTCACTAGAGTCAGCCCCCTCTTTAGCTACCAATAAGGGTTCGCCATAGTCGAGTAAGTTCCGGAACATTCAGGATTCGCTTAAAAAAAGGGAGGAGGGTGGAAAAGTGAATTTTAACCTTACATTAATATACAATGGATCAAAAGAATATTTAATAATTGTATATTTAATATAAATAAATCTTAAATGGTGGAACTGAGCAAGTCTTTCTGGACTGAAATTCAATTTAAAATTATTTTTTTAAATAATTTTATGATTTTTAACAATGTTTGTTAATCTGAAATGGCGGTACTAACAAGGGGAACTACCCAAGTGTTACACTCACTTATTAATGAAACTTTGCCAGCTTGTAGAGTTCGTCGAGCTGAACACGCCTATACCCCGTTTTGTGGGCAGATGACTAATTGTTTAAAAGATATTAATAATTAAAGTTAGACAAAATAGAATATAGAATTTTAATTATTCAAAAAGAGACAAATTATCATTTAAAAAAAAAAAAAAAAAAAAAAATGGGAACCAAGGATTTGGACCTTTAGATTGCGAGTCATGTGTATAACCACGGAACGGATCCATGACTCGCAATCTGACGGTCCAAGGTTCAAATCCTTGGTTCCCAACAATTTTTTTTTTTTTTTAATGATAATTTTTATGTAATAGTTATTCAAAAAGAGACAAATTATCATTAAAAAAAAAAAAAAAATGTTGGGAACCAAGGATTTGAACCGTGGATCTCTAGATTGCGAATTGTATGTGTAAGTTTGTCATACTTCAGAATGTCAGGAGTAACTAACTGTAATTGTTAATATCTTTTAAACAATTAGCCGTCTGCCCACAAAACGGGGTATAGGCGTATTCAGCTCGACGAGCTCTACAAGCTGGCAAAGTTTCATTAATAAGTGAGTGTAACACTTGGATAGTTCTCCTTGTAAGTCTTCCTTCACTCAACATATAATTTACAGTTTAAGTGTAATTTGAAATTCGCCTTTAACCATTTTCTCCAACATTATCAGAATATTTTCTCTAAGAAAATATTAGATCCGATTCATCTAGTCTTTAACTTTTGTGAAAAGTTGAATAACAGAGGAGTCGGTCGGACATTTCGATGAAATGTTTTCACAAACTTCGCGAGAATCTGCAAGAAAGAGTTCCACAGGACGAAAAAGGGGCGACAATTTGATTTTGTAAGCTAGATAAAGAAAGCTTTCTTCCTCGTTATTGGTTACCAGACAGAGTTCCACCCCCTCTTGTAAACCAAGGGAAAAAGAATTTCGCTGAAACGAGCCGATGTTTTCGTTGCAAGTAACCTTTATACACAATGAACGACGCCTAATCGAATTCTTCGACGGGAAAGGAAAAAAGTCATCCTCCTTTGCCGTGAAAATGCGTGACGTTAAGTGATGGAATAGTTCAACCGTGATTAAACGTAATTTATTATATTTCTTACACGTTGCAATATTTTTGTTGCGAAACTTTGTAAATCAAAATAGCTAGAAAATTCCTTAAAGTGTAAAAAATCATTTTTATTGCAATGTAATGTTCAACGAAAGCACGTTTAACCCTCGAAATACGATGCGGCTCGTGTGTATACAGTAAATTCTCGCTATATATCACCTCTCGCTATGTCCGCACTTTTTAATAAAATGTGTCATTTTTTTATTAAATTAAAGTTACAGATTAAAATAATTAAAGTCTATACTTCAAGCCAGATTTAAAAAATTGTTTTTCTTTCTTTTAACCTGAAAACTCTGAAAGGAACTTCTTGCTGTTAGTTATAGGGGTTCATAACATCAGGATTATTCCAATTGATTAACTGTCTCGTTTCGCTTGGTCAATCAAAGAGCAATATTTAAAAACGATTTCGATTGGAAAATCACTTGGTCGAGTAAAGTGATTTCGGTGAATTGATATTCCTTGCGTTGCGTTTTTGTAACGATGCTTGTTTTTAGTGGAAACACGAATCGTGCTGCGCTGCAGGAATGCTTTGATAGAATTGGCCATGATTCCAATCACGAACGATTTTCAACCAATACTAACTGCTATCTCGTTCAACAGTAGATCGTTGCAATTCACCCACAGCGTTTCCTTTATTTTTTCCCCTCTTTTTATTCATGACTTCTTGCTACATTTCGAAATATGAGTTCTTAAAAAACTGCTATAATATTGGGTGAAGCACTTAAAATCCTTATGAAACCTCCTTAATTGATGATTAATATATCATCCAATTTAAAAACAATCTCTGGGATAGATGTACTTATCTAAATTTTCCAGATAATCCGGATAATAGTCACCATTAGGTGGTACTTGCAATAATTAAACACACACCTACTTGGAGTTCGCTTAATTTTAAATATAATCTAATGAATAGTCATTTTAATAAGTCCTAGGTATTCTTGAGAATTTATCATGAACAAAAATATACTTACCCCTTATAAAAATCAAAAAATTAAAGATTTTGAAACGAACTAGGGTTTTTATCAACATAAGGGTTAAATTCTCTTCCGTTCCCTACTGTACAAGGTGTTCGACAACCGGTTGGGAGATTTTTTAAGGGGTGATTCTAGGGATCAAAATAAGACAAAAATCAAGAATGAAGAAATAGCGTTTGCGGCTTTGTTTTCCAGTAATCGTTTAAAAATTCGAGTAAAAAGCGCCTAAAACCTGCAACCTGCCCAGCACCTACGACTGAACGTCAGGTTAGCAGGGGTAGGTACAGTCATAACCAAGAATCATTGAATAGTAGAAACTTACCTCGTGCTATTCTGTTTCTCGGTACTGCAGCATTCGGCTTTCTCTTCTTGGTTATGACTGTACCTTCCCCTGCTGACCTGACGTTCAGTCGTTGGCGCTGGACAGATTGCAGGATTCAGGTGCTATTTACTCGAATTTGTAAACGTTAATGACTAGAAAACAAAGCTGCAAACGTTATTTCGTCATTCT